ATGTCCCCTTCCCCCTTCGAACCTAGTTTAAAGTCCTCTCAATGAGCCCTGCCAGCTCGTGGCCGAGAATCTTTTTTCCCCTTTGAGATAGCTGCGATGAACCTGTTGCCAGCAGGCCCGGTGCTGTGTACACCTCCCCGTGATCAAAGAAGCCAAAATTTGACTGATGGCACCAGTCGCTGAGCCATCTGTTAACCAGGTGACTTTTTCTGCCCCTTTCAGTGCTGTTCCCTGCCACTGAAGGGATGGAGGAAAACACCACCTGCGCCCCTGATCCCTCAACCAGTCGCCCCAGTGCCCTGAAGTCCCTTTTGATGGCCTTGGGAATTCTCTCTGCGATCTCGTCCCCGCCAACTGCATTACCAAGAGGGGGTAATAATCAGAAGGCTGCACCAGATCAGGCAGTTTCTTAGCAACATCCCAGTAGCCTGACCCTCACAATTTAGGCGCGGAATTGTGAATTGTATAGCCAACCGTTTGAGTGGAAACCCAGAATTCTGTGTCTGTGAATAACTTACTATAAAAATGTCCTTTGCAATAGTGCTCGTAAGGGAAATACACAAAAGTGATGAAGCAAATACAGCTGAGATAAATGCTTTGGAGTATTTTCAGACTAGTTGTTATATGCATATTCCTGAGCTGCAGAGGCTGTTTAACTTTGACTTAATCTCTATGACTATGGGACAATGTGGGGACACTTTATGTAGAGTTTAAGCTGCCATATAGTTTTCTGAAGGTGAAGGATCGGTTGTGCTCTCAGGGTAGATTGTGCTCTCAAATTATCAGGACAGACAATCTGGCTTGATCACAACAAAATGCTCTGAAAGTGGTTTGAAAGGTGAAACAACCAACCAGAACTGGGTGCCACCACCCAGGAAACCTTCCAGACCACAAGGCTTTACACTGACTCTTCCCCTGACCCAGAAGAGAGATGTGAAAACTTTGCATGGTTTGGCCTTGCCCTTGCCGAGGACCTGCATTATTCATTTTGCTGCTTGGCAGAAGTATCTTTTGGGGTTCTGTTTACCCATGAAAAGGAAGACAGAAAACTTAGGAAGGGTTGTCAATCTGGGCCATGGCTATCAACTGCTGCTGGTTTCTTTTTAATATCACAGATGGCCTAAATATAGGAGGGAAGATTCCTGCAGAAAAATGTCCGAACTGATAAGCACAGAGGATTAGCAGATAACTATTTCTTTAGCGTATACAGAAAGCTATAAGAAATCAGAGGCAATTTCTGAAACATAATCTCATTCTTAGCCTGGGAAACAAAGTGTCAGGACCAATCTATTTAAGGAATCTGAAGAACCTGTTCTTTGGGTCCATGCTAACAAGAGGCCATTTTTGTCCTGATTAAAGTCTTCCTAATAGCATTATTGCAAGAGCCAGCAAATAATTTTTTTTTCTTAAAAGTATAAACTAAAGGAGGTAGGATAGAATGTGATCATAAGAAGCTTCCACTAGCATTTGGTAAATAAGTTTTCCTGCCATGCTTGTGTAGGAGCTGAAATGTTATCCCAATAAAGATTCTGAGGGTGAAAGTCTGATTCAAACAGTGCACCTAATATAGGGATGTGGAATCTATCAGAAGCCCCAGTAGTGGAGGTATTTCCAAAGGGCTAATTGGTTAGTCACCTGTCACTCCTGGCACCTTTGATATTCTCAGACCATTTAATTGCAACCAAATTACAATTCACAGAACAGGTGAAAATAAGGCCTTTAATTAATATCTTGCACTTTTGTTCTATGAGGAAAATAGTGTGAAATGGCAACTAAAGTCAGTGCCAGCCCTGAACTGAATCAAAGAGTGTATATATATATCTATTGCAGTTTCAGACTTGCAGAACTGTCATTACAATTAGATAATGTTAGGCTCTGAGAAGGAAACCATTGATTTTCAGCAAGGCCAGATGCCTCATAGTGAATAGTCATTTTGGGGAAGAATGACTGCAGTGAAAGCTTACAGATTTAACTCAGAAAGAGTTTAAATGTTGCTTGCAGAAATCTAGTTTGGGAAGCAGCAAGGAGTTATTTCATTGTATTAAGCCTGTAGTTTTAAAATGCAAAAATTTACCCCAAGCATTGCAGAGATGAAAAGAGAGAAGCTGCTCTTTAGAGGGCTCTGCAAACTCTCATGCAATTTAGAAAAGATTACAGTATTTTGATCATAAAATTGACAGTCTGGAAAATAGTTTATGACATTCAAACCACATGCTAAACAAAGACCACCACAGAAGTTCAAAGGCAAAAACATTGTTGGATTTATAACCAACTGATTATAAAAGCTGGGAAGAAAATGCCTTTATATTTAAGTGAGCTCACACAGATTTTCTGAGCCAAAACCCACGAAAAATACTCAGTAAAGGAAGTGCTATTACATGTGCTGAGAATCCTGGAAATTTCTCCTGGCAACAGGATTCATTCACTCACTTTTTTCCCCAAAATCAGCTTCAGACCCATTAAATAAAAAACCTATTACAAAATCCACTGAAGATAATAACGTTCTTCCCACTGATTTTTTTGAACTTCAAATAAGACTGACTGAGAGAAAGAATAAATATCTTGTTAGGGGAAAAGATGAAGACTGCTTTCATATATCCAACTATGCTCAGAATTTGCCATTACCTTAAAAATGCTCTTTTCAACGCTGTAAGGGACTGAGTACCCCTAACTTAATTTACTGGAAACAAAAAGAAAATGTATAAAGTTATTTTCATTTTGTAAGTCCAACTACTTTCATGGAAGATGCTTGATAAAGAGGCCCTAAACTTTCAGATGCAGCCTGACACAAATTTCTCCCCTGTGGAGGAAGATGATAAATGGCAAAAGGCAGCATGGTCAGGTCTGTGATGTTGTAACACTTGTATGAGTATGCCTGGAGGATGACTTCATGGCTCCCGTGAACCTGTATTCCTTTTTGACCTCAACCACATGGCCCAGATTAAACCCATGAGTACCTTTGATGAATAATGTCAGATTTGATTCTGTTTTTTGTTGAATCTGGAATTGCTGTATTTGAACCTAATTTATGAAACCCAGTACTGCTGAGTATGAGAAGGGCACAAGCTGATGGCCTGTGAGAGCTCCCAAGCACTGTTGCCTTCATACCTACTTTCCAGCAGGAGATCTGGTAGTTGTCACTCTGAAATGTTCATTTCTGCACAACTGCCCAGACTGGAGCATTTGAAGTGAGCCAAATGATACGTAATGGATAATGATCATTATTCTGGTACATGACTTTCTGAATGCTGAAACTGATTTTCAGAGAATGTGTTTATATGGACCATCTCCTCATCTGATCTCAGTCAACAGAGCTCCTTGAAGTTGATGATGCTAAGTTAATATGTATCAGCTAAGGATCCTGGCTTAGGATTTATTCGACCTTACGTAGAATTTTAACTCTTTTTTCTTTGGGATCATGTAGGATCCATCTCTTCCAAGGAGATGTTTCTGGTCTGTGTTTTATATTTTTTTATATCCTTCTGTTTTGTTTTTTTCTAGGCTTCTGAAAAAGGAAGAAAATTTTATTTTTATCCCTCGTTCCCGTGAAGAGCTTCCAGAAAACTTTCCAAAGGAAATTCCTGGGATCTGTTACTTCCTTGAGGTCAGAAGTGGTCAGAAGCCGCCAAAACCATCCATCCCATCTGCCAGAGTGAGAAAGGTTTCTTACAACATTGGCACCATGTTCCTCCGGGAGACTAGCCTATGAGGCCTGCTGCAGATCAAAGACTCGTCAAAAAAGCACAAGCCCAGAACTGGGTCATGACAGGGGAGTTGGAGGTTCTTTCTATTTCACTGCCTTGTTCTGAACAAGCAGTAAAAGCTCTATGTAATGTCAGGCAATAATAATTTTTAAAGGTGGGTGACTGCTGTCAGTAAACAGAGTGGAGATAGGGAAAAAAAAAATTAAACAATGTACTTCCACTTCCAGAGGAATTTCTTTCATAAATTTCAGCCTGGCCCCTCTATGACATGAAAGACCAAACCGAACAAAAAACCCCTCAACTCTCAAATTAGAGGTTGGTTTTGTTTTGTGCAGAAAGGAAGATGGTTCTCTGTAGATTTGCACCAGCTAAGCAGAATTGAGAGTCAGTTCTGATTATGCATTCCTACATTTGATGTGTTCTTCTGTAATGATGTTTTTTAACTTTATGAACAAACATTTCATACATATACTGTAGACCTCTTGTAACCTTCCTGGCAGGAGGAATTATAATTCAGTACAAAATATTGTAGGAATTTTACCTATTTTTATACATATTTCACTTTCTGGATAATTACATTCCACATACTGTAAGCTGAGCTTAGATAGCTTTTCAGAAGAAGCTATTGTGTATTTCATACATTCTGCCTATCAAACCTTATTGTTATACACGTGGGAGGAAGTCACTTTTTGACTTTTTTGGCAACAAAAATATCGATATTTTACAGTAAAAAACACTTAGGTAAATGTCTTTACCTGATGTATGTGCTAAAGCTTTAGATGAGCATTGTCTTGCCTATGTAAAATAATGTTCAGTATTTGTCCTGTAGTGCTGTATGTCCAGTCCTTCTGGGACAGTGCAAACAAAGTGTACAAGATCAATGTGTTGACAAACAGAAAAGTTCTGTTCAGTGGAGCTTGTTTCCCACTAAATTATCAGTCAAACTGATTTTTTCTAGAAGTCCTGGACTTTTTAAAAAATTTAATCTTGTGAAAACTTGTTTGGAGAAATTCCAGCAGACACTGGAAGCTCTCTGGATACTGATTTTCTGCAATTTTTTATAATAGGACTTGTGCTCCTACTCCAGTTTGTTATTGAAATTCCTGTCTGTTATTAATGATGCCCATCTGGAAATTTCCTCTATTGCTGGGTTGGCTGAAAGGTCCCCTGCTTTGTCTAGTGTAGATGAAAAGAACACTGAAGACGGAAAGGCAATACTTTCCCCAGTTTAATGCAAATGACAGTTCAAGGTTTAGATGAGTTCGTGTCAATTTTTTTTAAAAAAGGCCAACTCTTTGCTGTTGAAAATTAATAGAGCTTTATTGTCTTCAATGCATCCAATTGGAACAAGATGTCAGTCTGTCCCCTAAGAGGCACATTTTCAGGCATTGTTTATTTCTTAGGTTTTCCTTTTCAAAAATAATGGCAGTCAACTTTCCTCTGTAGGTGTACTTCCTTTAGGGTCGTACTGAAGTGGGCTGGTGTTGTTCTGCTCATGCAGATTGTGAATTAAGACTTCTGCAGTGTGATTTGGAAGTGGCATAGCTTTATGTGGGCCAGATCAAAGCTCACTGAAATCAAAGACTCTCAGCAGCACTAGGAGTCATGAGAAGCTCTGCATTTTTACAATCCAGACAAGAAATTAGAGTTTACTTATGGATTAAGTTGTCATAACTTGAGGCACCTTTTGAAAATAAGTAAAAGTCAATAACTTTTTCCACATGTCTAAATTATCCAGCTAGGTCTTTCTGTGGAGGAAAATACAGTGCTGTGTTTCTCCCCTTTGACCAGTAGCCCGTGTTAGAGTTTGAACAAGTCAGCGTGGCACCACTAGCCTGTGCTGAACATGTTTCAAGCTTCCTTTCCATGAAGCCTTTCTGGATGAGAACCTATACAGACCTTGAACCTATACAGACGTATATAGATGTGGGTTTTTTCTTTCCTGAAGAGGGTAGATGCATGGGAATTAGCCCAGAAATTTACTTAAATGGAAATTCCCTCCCTTTCTAGAGGAACGCTGATGTTAATGATTTCTTCCATTGATATTAGAGCGTCCTTGAGATTCACAGAATCATAGATTAGTTTGAGTTGGAAAGGATCTTTACAGACCATCTAGTCCAACCCCCCTGCAATGAGCAGGGACATCTTCAACTAGATCAGGCAGCTCAGAGCCCTGTCCAATCTGACCTTGAACTTTTCCAGGAATGGGGCATCTACCACCTCTGGGCAATCTGTTCCAGTGTTTCACTACCGTCATTGTAAAACATCTCTTCCTTATATCCAGTCTAAATCTACCTTTGTTTAGTTTAAAGCCATTACCCCTGGTCCTGTAGCTACAGGTCCTGCTAAAAAGTCTGTCCCCATCTTTCTTACAAGCCCCCATTAAGTACTGAAAGGCCGCAATAACGTCTCCTCAGAGCCTTCTCTTCTCCAGGCTGAACAGCCCCAACTCTCTCAGCCTTTCTGCATAGGAGAGGTGCTGCAGCCCTCTCATTATTTTTGTGGCCTTCTCTGGACCTGCTCCAACAGGTCCATGTCCTTCTTGTGCTGGGGGCTCCAGAGCTGTATGCAGGACTCCAGGTGAGGTCTCACCAGAGTAGGGTGGAAGGGCAGAATCACCTCCCTCGACCTGCTGGCCACGCTGCTTTTGATGCAGCCCAGGATATGGTTGGCCTTCTGCTCTGCAAGCATGCACTGCCCGCTCATGTCTAGCTTTTCATCCACCAGTAGTCCTTCTCGGCAGAAGAATCAATCCCTTCCCTCTCCATCCCTTCATCCCTCAGCCTGCATTGATAGCAGGGGTTGCCCTGACCCATGTGCAGGACCTTGCGCTTCGCCTTGTTTAACCTCATGAGGACTGGAGGAGTTAATCTTTTATCTACCTTGATAAACAGCATCTGAAGCTCTGCTGCCTATCTGAAGAATGACTTAACGAAAACTGTTCGAGCTTGAGGTTGCAGAATCTCCACGCAAATGCAGATCTGAGAATTTACTGCATAGGATGACAAATTTTAGCGTACAGCCATCAGTTTGCACATACACAGGATGTAGCATGCATTTTTTACTCAGGATGTAGCATGCATTTTTTTTCCTGGGAACATCAGTGAGACGTGGTGAGAGAAGCTGATTTTTCACCACTGGAAGAGGAACACCACTTCCTAGCTAATAAAGCTGTGGTTTCGCTTACCTAGTTCCCTGAAGTGAAAATTTTTAAAATAGCTATCAATAGATTGAGATTTCATTCTGACTTTACTGGCACATCCTCATTGCTCAGTAGGTGCTAATGTCAGAGTACCAATCTCTCTGGCCAAACTTGTGCTTTTCTCACCACCCATAGTCCTCTGTGAAGAGAACAAACATAGTGATTCAGATCAAAAGCTTGTAGCTCAGTAACTTGTCTCTCACAGTTGCCAACAGGAAATGTCTAGGTTATATCCGTGGCTGATCTTGGTAGATCTATGGAAACATTTAAACGAGAAATGACAGGTAAACGCTAATTCTACTAGCAGTTTGGAGAAGCAATCTAAAAATTTTTGTATCATCACCATCCTCATCCTTTCAAGTGACTGTTTATTCTATAAGGAAATTTATAATTGCAGTGACCAGTGGAAAAACTAAAAACTGGTGTGAGCATCACCATGGAGACAATGACAGTGTTTGCAAATAAATCATCTAGCTCCCCAAATTAGAGTAGATTTACTGTATAAGAATATGCAGTCTCTGCTTTTTATAAGCTTGTGTAAAGGTAACTTGTCCAGAACTTCAGCACTGATGCTAAGTATTGTGTTATTTTTTTCTGTGTTAGAACAAAGCAAATCAATAAAAAAGTGTCATCTCTCTAGGGACATTTTTCTGTCTCAGTGTGACAAAAGTTTAAAACAAATTCTAAGTACTACTCTAACTTAGTAGTTGCATCTGCTGCCTGGAATATTAGGTTACAAGTTTTTTTTGTTGGACATCTTTACAAAGTGAAATGAAATTTATTACCAAGGTTGATGCTGTGAAGTATATTAGATGGTAGTCAGACCCAACATTTCTTCAACAACACTTTCTTTTACTCTTAGGGAAAACTTCCTTATTTGCCTAGTATTGTCTTCACAAATAAAAAGGTTCTCAGTTTTTATACCTTGGGATGATGAGGTGGATAGGACAGAGGTGCTGAAATGGATGCAGAAATCACATACTAGAGTTGGAATTTTATTCTAATAGTTTCCTTCCTATAAAATAGATGATCTTTTGTCGCTCTGATTAAGAATTTACACGCTTGCGTTTCTTCACACAGCTGCAAGTAGCAACATCTGCTGACTTGAGTTTCCGTATGAAACAAATCCACCCTCTCTGACAGTAGAGGGAGGAGATCTGCTGCATATTGCCTGTACAGGGCAAAGTAAGGATGATGTGAGGACCCTATCTGGGGTCATTGGTTGCTTGTGGCGAGCTTGTTCTGTGCAGCTTCCCTCCGCTCCAGGCTCAGAGGGACCAGAGACCACGGACTGATGGCAGAGGCAGACCCAGTGGCCAACTTCTTGTACAAAAGTCATGAGGCCTAAGTAAACAGAAGCAGCAGTCCTTCCCCCAGAACACTTTTTACAGATCTTATGTCAGATTTTTCCATCTGCTTGAAGCTCTGCATCATACATTCTCTTCTGTGATGCAGGGCAGATGATAGGTCAGGAACTCAGAGTAAGAAGGAAAAAGTGATGGAGGTGGCAGAGTGGTGGATAAATTTTGTTTTGCATCACTGGTAATATCTCCCATTCAAAAATGAAAGCCACTTCATGGGAGAACTGTTGCTAAGCCAGGACCTTCAAAGTGCGGTTTTCTTGCTGGATCCCACACAATATTTCTATTTTAATTGCACAGAGCCAATGGTCATTAACTGTGGTTGTGGTTTTGGCTTCACTGCTCATTCCCACGTCCAGTTTCAGATCAGAGTCTGTTTCAAAAGGCATTTTGGAGCATGGAAACATGCTTCTGCAAACAGAAAACCAACACTTTAAAAATCTTGGAAACCTTGTATGGGAATTGCCTGTTCTGAAGAAGAAATCCCTCCAGTCGAGTCATTAGCAGGCCCTACTGCGATTCGTATGTGTGCATATGCCATTTCACAATGCTGTCTCCTGTGCTTACGGTGTTCCCTACCAAGCCTGGCAGTGGTATCAGTTGTATAACCACCTTTTCTCTGTTTTCTGTTAACATGCCTCTTTCATTTTTTTTCTGTACAAAGCAAAAAGTGCAGAACCACGACATGTTGCATACATTTAAAAGTTTCATAGTACAGCACTGAGGCTTAAACTTAGCTAACTGATTTCACGTTGTAGATTTCTTCTTCTGAATAGATCCTTCTCCCAGACAATTTAAAAATTAAGGAAAAAATAATATCACCCAAAACTGCTGGGTTGAATTGCAAATGAGTATGAAACCTGCATCCGTTGTTGGGGCAATATAACTGCTGGGCAGCTTTCAGATCCTTCAGCTGCCACAAGCTGTTACACTTGCATGCTTCATGCAGATGCTCCTGCCAAGAAGTCTGGAATCCAACAGCAGCATCACAATCTTATGGCATTTTCTGGGTTTTCCTCTTCCAGTCGCAGGCCACTGCCTCACCTCTGCTGAGTGCTTAGAGCTCACTGAGGAGAGCTAATTCCCTGTCTTAATGCAGCCTCAGAGCTTCTGGCTTATTTTTTGGGTTCTGGTGATCTTTTGGA